GAGTCTGACGCCCTTATGATCACCGTCAGGTCGTCTGCAAAGAGGAGAACTGTGGAAAGATGAATATTGTGCCCCTGCTGATCCGGCTCTGCAACAAGCCTTTGGATTGATGGGTCCTTACGTAAAAAGGATGCCACTACCTGCATTATGAACAGGAATATCGGAGCGGCTAGGGGGTCCCCCCGCCTGACCAACCTCGTCATCGTGTAAATCGAGGATAAGCGCCCATTAACCTGTACTTGTCCTTGTGCATCATTGTAAAGAACTCTTCTCTATTTCCTGAAATTCGGACCTACTCCCATATTTTCCATGCATTGCTGTAGAAATGGCCAGCTAACCTGGTCGTATGCCTTTTCAAAGTCAAAGAACAAGATAGCGGCATTAATCCTCTTATCTCGGACGTATCGTACTGTTTCGTTAGGGTCATAACATTATCCAATATGAACCTACCCAATATGAACCCTGTCTGATCTATATGGAAACAGCCCGCTGTAATTACCTTAAGGCGGTTCGCTAGCACCTTAGCAACTATATTATGCGTCAGAGTTAGCAACGTTATCGGCCTGTAATTACGAATATCCGATGGATTCCCCTTCGTGTAAATCAATGTGACGATTCTGGTTGCCAGGTCCTGACCCAATCCCTCTCCCTGCCACGCCTGTTCCAGAAACGCTAGATATTCATCCCCCAGATTGGCCAATATTCCATCCAAAACTCCCTGGTTAGTCCGTCTTTTCCAGGAGTCTTATTGGGAGCCATGGATTTTAATGCTTCCCATAGGTCCTCCTTTGTTAATGGGGCATCCAGCTTTGCCACCTGATACTGTGAGATTGTGGGCTGCAGGTAGTTCAGAAACTTGGATCGCACTTCTTGCACCTGTGGTCTTGGGTGTTCATGTTCTCTTGTTGTATACAGATTGCTATAGAAATGTAATGCCACTTGAAGCATCTCGTACTTGTCTGAAGTAAGGCCAGCCGGTCCTTGTAATTAATTGATGAGGTTGTTCCTTCCCCTGGATGTAATTTTCCGGAAAAAGAATTTAGTTATTCTTTCTCCTTCCTCCCATTCTCTAACCCTGACCCTCATTTGCAGTCTTCTTGATCTCCAACGTTGCCATTCTGTCGATTCCCCCCTTGCTACCTCCAGCGCCCTTTCATAGACATTTTGCCCTGGGAAATTGATGATGTTGCACTCTGCTAGTCTCATCGCCTGTCGTAATTCATGCTCTCTTTCCTTTCTTCTAGCTGCCAGACGTCTAGCCACTCCTGACGATGCTTTGGAAAGTGCGAGAAGCAATTCCGGGAAGGTATGTGTGTCCGGGTTATGTGCCTGACACACTTGTAGTACTGCCTGTCTCATTTCTATGGTGCACAGGAGTGAGTTATTTAGTTTGTAAAAACCTTTACCCCTCTTGATCTGTTTATCTGTGACGAGATGGAGAAAAATGGGCTTATGATCCAAACCTGCCCCGTATGGCAAATCTCCTATTCCCACCGAATGTATCATGCCAGTTATGCTTGACGATATCAAAAAATAATCAATTCTTGATGCTGAAACATGTTGACTACGGTTCCTCTTCAAATAAGTAAACTGTCTTTTGTCAGGGAAGTGCACTCTGTATGGGTCCACCAAATCCTTGCATGTCATCATGTTGTGGATTGGTAGAGCTTCTTCTACCAAGCCCTCCTCCCATTGCCTGCCCCCTGCAGCCATTCTATCCACCCTAGGATCTAAGGTCGCATTCCAATCCCCTACCATTACTAGGTGCCTATCCTCCTCTAAGATGCCATGAAGCTGTCCCACAAACTCTATCCTCTGTTGGGATCCGTTGGGACAGTATACTGCTAACAGCGTGTATGGCTCGTCATGAAACTCGAAGTTAACCATCAGTTTCATCGACTGTGACGTTATTCATTACTATCTTGCTTGCCGCCTGCGATCTATTATTGTGAAGTATGACCACCCCGCCGAATGAGGATTGCTTGCTGGTGCCCACCAAGCCTCTTTGAGTCCCCCAAACTTCTGAGCTATCCTACTCTTTATTTGCTGATGCTCGCTTGACCTTGTGAGGTGGGTTTCTAAAAAGCATACAAAGTCTGGTGGCGAGGCACCAAACCATTCCGTGTAGTTGGTTATATTTTGCCATTTATGTTGGTTCTCTAACACCCCTGCCAAACCATTAACACTCCACGATGTGATTTTAATTTCCGGGGGCGCATGACTCTGCTCTCTCCTTACCCGCTTCCTTTGTCTGCCCTCCCCCCTATCCTCGATAACTTAACTGCCAGTGGTCTACCCAATGCCATAGCCACCTTCTAGATTCAAGAGCCCAGCAACGCTATATCCATCTTTGTTGACATTGGGCTGATCCTCTTTTTCAAGAAATCCGGCTTCCACCCAAAGGCGTCCACCTTGACTGATACTGCCGCACTACAGGCTACCCATTCTGCCGCCATCTCCCCTCCCAACAATCCGTAGGGGATGGTTTCCACCACCTGCCAAGGCATCCAGATTAGGCCCTCCCTCAATTCCGTCTTCTCCCTCATATGCATGAGCAGTGGTCTAAAGTCAGCCGCCGTTTCCTCTCCCCCCGCTTCCACGACTTCCATTGCCTCCTCTCTCCTATCCCCTAATATATATGCCCGAGACGGTATTCCCTCCCCAATTATGTTCTGCAAATCCTTGCCTGCGCAAGTGCTAACAGGTGCCGTGATGAGCTGAAGCGAGCGATGAATTGCTACCTCCCAATCCGCATGCTTCTCGTTCCATCAACACGGTAAGATAACCCTCCTTCCGGCCCCGTTTTTCGCCTCCAACCTTGCTGCAGCTTCAATCTCCTTGAACTGGCTCTGAGCTATTTTTTGCAGATTAATAGTTTCCTCCTCAAATTCCTTGTTCTTATCCTTTAACGCATTTAACTGGGCTTCCAATATTGCTGCTTGCCTCTGCCAATCCTGTTTTTAATGTTCCTCCCCCTCCTCCTGCTGCTTGTCCTCATCCTTCATTGACTGATCCTGTGTTCCCGCCGCCTGTTCCGCCCTACTTTCCTGGTCGTCCTCCCTCTGTGCCCTTCTCTTCCTACTGGCCACTTTACTGCTCTTCCTCTGGTATGTCTTTGGCCATTGGAATGTCTTAGCGTAGTCTTCATTTTGGATTTGTATGTCGTTCTTGAGTGGACGCGCTTTTCTCGCGTACTGAGCCGCATAGGATTCATTTATCTCCCCTTCCCTTTTTAACAACTCAAATCGGTTTTCGGAGGTAATGTCTTCCGCCATCTGGGTTGCCTGCCTCAAGTTCCTCAAATGCTTGTGATGTGCAAGCCTGATCTCGCATTCGATTGTGTCTCCTTTTTTTTTTCTTTTTTTTTAACTAAGCTATATTCTTCACTCATATGTGTTGCATACTCATGAAACGCAGTCATAAGTATGGCGCAGATTCCCAGAACCGACCAGATAATACAGAGTAAATACAAAGACAGCGGAAGACTTGAGATACATGGATTGACTCAGACCTGACTCAGACTGCAACGAAACACTCACGAACATACATCGGTGGTGTGAAGCCCTGGCCTTGGACATAGAAGAAAAGGCCGGGGCAATTCTCATACACGGATGAATGGAGGGGGGGGGGGAGAGACGAAGGGAGGAGGAGAGGGAAGATGACGTCAACCCAATGTTTCCAAAAATAGTATCTTGAAATGTCAGAAGTAGCAAAAATCCGAAATGTCGTGAACACAGAGTCTCACAGTGTCTCAGATATCGATCTCACAATGTCAAGGTACATCTTCAGAGGTAGACGAAATCAGATCCCAAGAGTAGTCCTCAACCTACAGTCTCGATGTCGTTGTCTCCAATATCATCAGAACTCGTGAACATCCTACGTACCCGTAGTAGTCCCGTAGTAGTCCCGTAGGAGAACCCAGGAGTAGACTTACACTTAGAAGGTAGGAGGAGAGAGAGAGAGAGAGAGAGAGAGAGAGAGAGAGAGAGAGAGAGAGAGAGAGAGAGAGAGAGAGAGGTGGAGGAAGAAGAGGGAGAGAAGGCAAAGCCTTTCTTCCTGGTACCTGTCACGGTAGCTATGGCGCTGCAAAGGGCTGGCGCTGGGCCGCGGGCTGGGCCGGTGGCTGGTGCTGCTCCCAATGCTGCACTCATCCCTCTCTGCCGCTGAGCTCCTTCTCTCCTCGCTACTCTTCATAATGCTGCAGCGCTGCGCTCATTCTACTAACGCTGAAACGCTGCGCTAATCCTCAAGACTGACCTCCTGTCCACTCTAACCTACCGACTGAGGCTGGTACCCAGCTGATATAGTGCTGGGTCGGGCTCAGTCCTACTGAGGTCCTTCGGGTCTCGACCGTTGATCAGGCCCAACCATTCAGATCCGATTTCGGAATCTGAAAAGTGCCGCCACAACTGCGCCACCGGCCGGTCCTACCGATGGACCTCGTACCTGGCCTAACCATCTAGCCGTTGGGTCTGGTGGGGTCTAAACGAGGCCTACCGGACCCTAAACTGAACCACCGGGTCCTAGGCCTACCTGGACCTAAACTGGGCCCGTCGTGACCCGGTAACTACCGTCTTCCCCCAAACACAACGCACCCTCATTTTGGCTGTATCTGGCCGGAAATATAGCTTGTATACATTCATTTTTAGGATGCGTTATGTTCGGGGGAAGACGGCAGGCCTGAACCGTGCCTGCTACAGAACGGGGCCCTAACTGGGGCCCGTGTGGTATCAGTATGCCACACATGCCTCACACTACCTACCGTGATATGTAACTCCACTTTTTCCAAATGGTTGCAGTTATGGGTGAAGTCTCCCTAATGAATCCCAGCCTTCTGCTCGTCGCGGGGAGCAGTACCCGGGCTCGTAACACCTGGCACGAGCCGGAAAACATCCTCTTCGCTTTTTATTCACCCACTTTTTTTTTTAGATTTCAATTTTCAATACGATTGTTTGGCGTTATGGAAGTTCATTCACAGTTATCCCTGGTTTTTGTGGCAGGTAACACGCCCATATCACGCCTTGTTCAAGGAAGAATCCTTATCGACGATGAAGCCGTCGGATGAGGAGGCGGAGAAGATTGCAGGGGAGGCAGCAACTGTGCACAAGGGTGCGACAGTAGGCCTGAGGAAGATGGACGACGGTCCGAAGGCAAAGGAGAAAAAACTGGAGGATAATGATGATATGGATGATGACGAGGATGGCGACGATGATGATTACTATGGCGGTGGCGACGAAGAAGAGGAGGAAGATGCATTAGCAAACCTGGGCAGCTTCGACGATGACGATTAACTGGCGGTCGCCTTCAACTGTACTGCAGGTTGCCAGCATCTCTCTCTCTCTCTCTCTCTCTCTCTCTCTCTCTCTCTCTCTCTCTCTCTCTCTCTCTCTCTCTCTCTC